GAGCAAAGGCGCCATCAAAAGTGCAGTCAATTGCGCGAAAACTGAATTCTGCTCTACATTTTCTTGTTTCTATCAAAACCTTCCTAGCTTACGCAGCTGAGAAATGGAAACAAACATTCAGCAAAAACTAAGAAAGTGTAAGGAAATCCGACCTTCTCGTTGCAAGGACTAGCTTGAATAAGTAAAACCAAGTAGTAGCCGACAGTAAGCAGATGAAAATCAGAGGACTTTTATGGTAATGGACCACGGACTTCGACAAAAAGAAATCACAAAAACCAGAAATGTTATCACTTCTCTTGGGGGCAAAAACGATTAATGGGAGGGATTACACAAATGAACATTCATTGCATATGGGCGGTATAAACTGTGGAAAAGATTAGACGGAAACTGCCCCCGTCAAGAAACATTAAGCACAGTTTGCACTTAAAATAAGATTTTTCCCGGAAAAACAACACGCTCCCAAATTTAACAAGTATACGGAGAATAAATGAAATGAATAGCTCTATATGTGAAGAAAACTTGGCAAAAATTAAAATACTTTTCGAAAAGCAGCCAGTGCAACAGTATGACTACTTGTAGCTTAATTTTCGAATAGCACTGGCAATTTCAAGTTTACCAGTACTGCTACTACCTCCTTTGCAATACTACTACCATTTTTTGCTAGCCTTAATAAATGAAACTTGCATGGGTAGGTGGAAGGAACAGTCTCAGTCAAAGGAGTTGATCGCTGGGTTGGAAAACCTGAGTTGAAATCGATGCATGTAGTGAATCTCTTAGTTTGTAGAAACAAGAAACCCTCCCATAGGATTTTTTTAAACCAGTTCCGCATTTGGTCGGAAACGTAGACTTTGCAACCCCCATTTCAACGTGAACATATCGGCATTCGTACCTACCATAACCGGCACGTATACGTAACTGATAACTATTTTCATCAAAATAGCTCAAAACAGGGTTCTTATCCCTTAATTGAGCATAACAAGAGTACATTATCGACATCCTTTATTAACATAACATGATAAATACAGACAAGAAAGCGAGGTGACAAGGTCTCTTTGGACCCGAGACCGGAGGAAGTCGGGCGAAGTGACCACATCGCACGATGGTCTCTGAATAGCGTGAAATTAATAAGAACAAATCCAAAAAAAGAAATAAATTTGTAAAAGCTACTTTAAATTACTCTCAAGCTTTAGTTATAAAAACGAACTTAAAAGGAAGTATTAGGGCGATAGCATATCCATGCCACCAAGCACGCACTCATGCTAAAAAGGTGAATCTCAGCATTCAAGGCCTTCAATCTAACCGCCATTGGCCGCACTATGGTGTAACAAGACCGATTTCAAAATGATTTAGAAAAATAGAAAGGTGAGCAGGAACTCAAGGAAAACCCTGTCTAATATCATTTATATGGCAGGGCTGTGGAATATCTATTGACAATTGCCAGAAAAATATAAGAAGGAATTGGACAAAGTACCTAGAGATCTTAGGAGAGATAGGCCGGTTCATAATGTAAGGCTTGTCGTTGTTGGTACTCGAACGCCCGGCAATGCTCGAACTTTGCTCCTTTCTCGAAATTTTTCGGATCCAGTGGCTCACATTCACCAGAGCAAGTCCTTGGATAGCAGAGGAACGAGATATGTCGGATGTCAATGAGTGATGACAAATGGAAAGCACTATATGCTGCGATCATCACGTATTCCATTATCGCATAGACTCTTGGCACTGAAATACGATCGTTTAAAGCTATCTTCATGTAATCATAAGTTGCTCAGTACTATTCGCCAGCTTACATATTTCCTATTCCGTCAGCTGACCACTTAAAGGCACAGTTCACGATAATTGTGGATACCAGTGTTTATTCGAGAAGCGGGGTATAGATTGAGAATAGTTCATCGGTAGCGAAGTAAGCGAGAGAATTCGCCGATTCCGAGAGAAATACGGCTCCTCAAAAGTGGTTGGACGAGATTGCCATGACGGAAAAAACACGAAAGGATATGTGGACGAGCTCTCAGTTGTTGCAATTTCACAATAAGCTGACTACATCAAGACAGAACGTACAGAAGTGTCTTTCACTGTCGCTAAGGGTCATGACAAGTTTTTTAATCTCCCTACATGGGTTCCTTTGTGATCTGTTCAGAATCTAAAATGCCGATGAAACTCGTACGAGGATCCACACGGGCCAATCTTTGAAGCCTTATAACTCCCTAACTAGGCCCTTTTCCGACCTAGCAGTGCCAGTTATGGAATACGCGGGGCCTCGAATTGTGGGAAATCTCAGAAACCATTTTTATCGTAAACTGTGCCTTTAAGCGCAGTTAAGTTCAAAAAAAAAAGAATCTATTCTGTCCTAAACCTATTTTTCCAACATGTTCTTATTTTCTGAAAATTATTCTCTTCAAGGAAGGAACCTCATACTAATACGAGTAGTACACTGATCGCTAGAGAGGTTGAAAAGCTGAAATTTTTTCGAAAGGCTCATTTCACATCGAAACTAATTCCTGAGATTCCTCCCTAGGATGAAAATGTCACTCCCAAGGATAGCAAAAGGAATGTCTCCAGGTGGAAAAACGGTCTAGATAGCGCGTGATAAAGGCTCAAAACCAGCTAAGCCGACGTTCTCACCAAGTTCCCACGGCGGTACGGGCTGTGGAGGTTGCACTATACCATTCGCAACGGTACCCACACGTTTCAGGCAGATAGCTTACTGTAGCCAACTGTACGAGATAGCAATGACGCCTCTTTGGAAAGCACACCCAAATACCTTATTTCGTCACATTCTCGCCCAAACACTAATTTACTACTTTATTGAAGCCTTACACCTCTCTGAATACGCCGATTTTCGCCTTTTCTTTGCCACTTCTGCACTTTTCTAGACTAACGCTTCCATTATTCGTCTAACACTGGAATTCCCAAAATAACCGTAAAGTACGTCATCAAGTGGCCACAACTCCATGAAATGAATCTCTGCCCCAACCTCCTCTTAATGAAGGTAAAGGATGTAGATGCGAATTGCGAATAACTTACAGTATGAATGACACAACCGGATTGTAATATTGGCATATTGACGTTGAAAGTATTGGGGCGCGACATAACAGAAGGCTATAGCACTGATGATCTTCATAGCCATCGAAATAACATCGAGTCTCTGGAAATAATCGAGAATTTCAGAGCTATTCGCGAGAAGCTGACAACAACTACCACTGCACTGTTAAAAAGCTTCTTAAGAACTCTGACGAAACAGTTGCAAGACTTTTCATAGATAGTTACTTTGAATTTAGGCTTCAGAAAGTTTGTGCCACTGATGACACCTGACTTTGTTATAGATGACTGCTGCGACATTACCGACGTTTCTGACAGATTCTCCTACACGGATGAGGGCTAGTTCTTTTGCATATGGGGATCGAATTCCGGGTCGAGACTAGTTTAGGCCAACCAAGCCTCATCCTTCCTGGAAGGCTTGACTCGCCTGAAGGGGACGTTCGTAGGGCGCTCCAATAGCCGAACTCTACAGGCTATTTGGCAAATGAGGATGAAGCATGGTGCTTAGCGTAAATCAACTATAACGATGCCAAAAACTCATATGTTTCAGCTCTGAATCACGATCTGGATTCAAGGTCATAACGCTCTGTTGCTCGTGAGATGTCAAGGGAACGACTACCCATAAAGGACTGCGAACAGCTGGACCGAATGACGACGAGAATCAAAGGGAAAGGAGGAAAAACCTCCTTCCACTCAGTCCCATTGGACTGGCCCCCATTAAAATCGTGGTTTGAACTGAGTTACCGTTGTCCATCCTTAGCCTAACTCAGAGTCTTCTCCTTCCAACTGTTCCCTGTTCCGATCTTAAGCGTACTGCCCCGAACCAAAGATCTTCTTTAATGGCTTCCTCAACTATCAATCATCCTCTAATCGCAAACTTCTTGCTTTTCTTTGCCGGAGAGTCCGAAAACGACTACATTTTGCAAAAGCGCCCACACTAATGAAAGATACGTCACTGGGTGACCGGACTTCGTACGGAGGGAGTTTAGACAAAGTGATAGTGAGCGTTCCAAATTATTGCGGAGAACCTGCTGAATAATAAGTGACGAGATAGCGATCCTTCACATCACAATAATTTCATGACCTTTAAAAAACAACTTTGAAGTCATGTAATCTGCAAAATCACCTTTGTGTTAAATCTTCTGTGAGCGATCACAACAGCACAAGTGATCAGCATATTGGCCGATGCCGCTATACAGAATACAATTTTGCAATAACGATTGAGAACTAAAATTAGGTGTTTAGAAGGTCTTTTTGAACCATGTTTCACTGGGCATGGCTCTTTTGAGATTCTCAGGATTGCAATAACTGACCTATGGAGTCTTTCCGGATGGTGACAACACTAAATATTGCCATGGCAAAAAATTCCA